AAAGAGAATTTTGAAAGGCATTATAATAATCAAACATTGGAAATTTATGCTGAAAAATAAATAGGGATACTGTATCCCTATTTGAAAAATAGGGATACTATATAAATGGTAGCCATTTTCTCTAAATGTCATTCCATATCAATGAAATGAACAACTCAGTGGGGAAATAATCAGAATACAGGTCAAGGTATTAGATGCCTCAACTCTTGTACAATAGAGCTATTAAAATTACCAAAAAAAAAAGCTAATTCAAGCCATAGGACATGTCCTTTTTATACTGAAGGAACTGGGAGCTTCTGGGAAGACCATAAGATATTGTGATAATGCCTTAGTATTCAAATGCATCTTTTCTTTAAACAAAGTTATATAAATTCCTTTAAAAAATATCGTTTGAAAAGAACAAAACCTCACTTTTGTAAGATATCTGCATTCCATTTACTTCCAATATTTCCAAGTCCAATTCACTTTTGGTTAAGATCCGTTTCATATCATTGAATCTGCAGCTCAAACAAAGCTGTAACATATAGTTGGAAACTTATTAGTAGCTTAGTTTATTGGTCTCTTGCCAGTTCATGCAAATGGTATTTTCAAAAGAAAGATAATTGTAATAGCTGAATCACAAGTGAAATATCTGAAGTGTAAAGTAGCTTTCATAATAGCGTTTATTCATAATAGCATTTATCCCCATTTCTCAAAGGATAATTGTATGGAAGTTTTATTGGTTCACCTAAATTTGCTTACTGTAACTGGTCTAGGAGTTCAGTCAGTACATTTCTAATACCTTCTATCTAGAGCACTTTGATTTAGAAATTAAGGAAATAAACTTAAGTTTTTGTTACATACAAAACTTTTTCATATTGACAGGAGTATCCTTGTCATAGAAAAAAAATCCCTTATTGTTCATTCTGTACCACTAAAATGTATAAATAATAAAGTCATGATTTTCACCCTTATTATAAATGATTGTTTCACATACATGGGAAGAGAATAGTGTAAGGCTTCTTGCTTTTAAATGACCAAATTTCATAGAATCATTCAGCTAAAAACAACCAAGGACATTTTTGCTAACAGAGCTTCCTATCCAGAATTAACAACAGATGGGCTATAGATTAAAAACATGGATGCATTTGCACAAGAGTAAAACAATTCTCTCCTTTCTTCCTAAAAAAAATTGACACTTTTCCACCTGAAGGCATTTTAACAGTGGAGACTCAAAGGAAAAATTGTATGGGATTTATTTTTGTTTGTTGTAACAGTCTTGGTATTTACATGTCAGGGGAGGAAAAACAGCATCCTTATTTACAGAAGTGTGCATTACATTTTCTTACATGACCTTTTTTTTTAGCAGTGCAGACAAGACAAACCCCTGCTCCTTGAATAATTTCATTATTCACAATTTGTTAATTCTTTCTTGCTAATTTGAGCAGGGGCAATCTACCACCAAACTAAAGTGTGGTTTATTTTTAATTTTATTAATTAGTCTGCCACTCTTTTTTTATCCTCTTTCAAACAACTCAAGGGTTATATATTTTAAATCCCACACATGGATACTTTGCCTTCACAATATCTTTGCCAGGTAAATAGTTCGGAGATAATTGGCCCAAGGTCACCAAGAGAACATATCTTAGCAGGAGACCTGATACATCAACACTGGGTTGATTTCAACACCCTTTCACACTTTCCTGGCTTTTTTTTTTTTTTTTTATTCCCTGATGATCCTCCAGAGCAGGGGGACCTGAGATTAAAGAGCAGATCAGCTGGTTTTTTGTTTTTTTTTCAAGCTCTGGAAGTAGCCTAAGGCAGGGGTCTCCAACCTTGGCAACTTTAAGACTTGTGGACTTCAACTC